TTCTCAAGATTTATTTTGGATTCAGTTTTTTCTCCACATTCAGATTCGGAATAACTTTTTTCTCGAGATTCATTCTCGGAAGGATTCAATTTTTTCTTGAGATTCATTTTCAGTTTCACTTTTTTCTCCAGATTCATTTTCAGATTCGAATTTTTTCTCGATATTCATTTTGGATTCAGTTTTTTTCTCCAATTCAGATTCGGAATTACTTTTTTATCCAGATTCATGCTCGGAAGGATTCACTTTTTTCTCGAGATTCATTTTTAGATTCACTTTTTTTCTCCAGATTCAAATTGGGATTCAATTTTTTTCGAGATTCATTTTCAGTTTCACTTTTTTCTACACATTCAGATTCGGAATTACTTTTTTATCAAGATTCATTCTCAGAAGGACTCACTTTTTTCTCGAGATTCATTTTTGGATTTACTTTTTTTCTCCACATTTAGATTCGGAATCATTTTTTTCACGAGATTCATTCTTGGAGGGATTTACTTTTTTCTCGAGATTTCTTTTTGTTTTTACTTTTTTTCTTCAGATTCAAATTGGGATTCACTTTTTTCTCGAGATTCATTCTCGGAAGGATTGAATTTTTCTCGAGATTCATTTTGGATTCAGTTTTTTTCTCCACATTCAGATTCAGAATCACTTTTTTCTCGAGATTCATTCTCGGAAGGATTCACTTTTTTCTCGAGATTCATTTTTGGATTCAGTTATTTTCTCCACATTCAGATTCGGAATCACTTTTTCTCGAGATTTATTCTCGGAAGGATTCAATTTTTCTCGAGATTCATTTTGGATTCAGTTTTTTTCTCCACATTCAGATTCAGAATAACTTTTTTCTCAAGATTCATTCTCGGAAGGATTCACTTTTTTCTCGAGATTCATTTTTGGATTCACTTTTTTCTCGAGATTCATTTTTGGATTCAGTTATTTTCTCCACATTCAGATTCGGAATCACTTTTTTCTCGAGATTTATTCTCGGAAGGATTCAATTTTTCTTGAGATTAATTTTGGATTCAGTTTTTTCTCCACATTTAGATTCGGAATTACTTTTTTATCCAGATTCATTCTCGGAAGGATTCACTTTTTTCTCGAGATTCATTTTTGGATTCACTTTTTTCTCAAGATTCAAATTGGGATTGGAAATTTTTCTCGAGATTCATTTTGGATTCAGTTATTTTCTCCACATTCAGATTCGGAATGACTTTTTTCTCGAGATTCATTCTTGGAGAGATTCACTTTTTTCTCGAGATTCCTTTTTGTTTTTACTTTTTTTCTTCAGATTCAAATTGGGATTCACTTTTTTCTCGAGATTCATTTTGGATTCAGTTTTTTTCTCAACATTCCGATTTAGAATCACTTTTTTCTCAAGATTCATTCTCAGAAGGATTCACTTTTTTCTCGAGATTCATTTTTGGATTCACTTTTTTCTCGAGATTCATTTTTGGATTCACTTTTTTCTCAAGATTCAAATTCGGATAGGAAATTTTTCTCGAGATTCATTTTGGATTCAGTTTTTTTCTCCACATTCAGATTCAGAATCACTTTTTTCTCGAGATTAATTCTCGGAAGGATTCACTTTTTTCTCGAGATTCATTTTTGGATTCACTTTTTTCTCTAGATTCAAATTGGGATTGGAAACTTTTCTCGAGATTCATTTTGGATTCAGTTTTTTTCTCCACATTCAGATTCAGAATCACTTTTTTCTCGAGATTCATTCTCGGAAGGATTCACTTTTTTCTCGAGATTCATTTTTAGAAGGATTCATTCAATCTGAATGTAAAGAAAAAAAGTGAATCCTTCCGAGAATGAATCTTGATAAAAAAGTAATTCCGAATCTGAATGTGTAGAAAAAAGTGAAACTGAAAATGAATCTCGAGAAAAAATTGAATCCCAATTTGAATCTCGAGAAAAAAGTGAATCAGAAATGAATCTCGAGGAAAAGGTGAATCCTTCCGAGAATGAATCTCGAGAAAAAAGTGATTCTGAATCTGAATGTGGAGAAAAAAACTGAATCCAAAATGAATCTCGAGAAAAATTGAATCCTTCCGAGAATGAATCTCGAGAAAAAAGTGATTCTGAATCTGAATGTGGAGAAAAAAACTGAATCCAAAATGAATCTCGAGAAAAATTGAATCCTTCCAAAAATGAATCTCGAGAAAAAAGTGATTCAGAATCTGAATGTGCAGAAAATAACTGAATCCAAAATGAATCTCGAGAAAAATTTCCAATCCCAATTTGAATCTCGAGAAAAAAGTGAATCCAAAAATGAATCTCGAGAAAAAAGTGAATCCTTCCGAGAATGAATCTCGAGAAAAAAGTGATTCTGAATCTGAATGTGGAGAAAATAACTGAATCCAAATTGAATCTTGAGAAAAATTTCCAATCCCAATTTGAATCTGGAGAAAAAAGTGCATTTAAAAATGAATCTCAAGAAAAAAGTGAATCCAAAAATGAATCTTGAGAAAAAAGTGAATCCTTTCAAGAATGAATCTCGTGAAAAAAATGATTCCGAATCTGAATGTGGAGAAAAAAAGTGAATCCAAAATGAATCTCAAGAAAAAAGCGAATCATTCCAAAAATGAATCTTGGGAAAAAGTAATTCAGAATCTGAATTGGAGAAAAAACCTCATTTGAAAATGAATCTGAAGAAAATATTCAAATCTTAAAATGAATCTGGAGAAAAAAGTGAAACCGAAAATGAATCTTGCGAAAAATTTAATGAAAATTTGAATCCGGAGAAAAAAGTAGATTAAGTGGGGTGTCTGACCACGCCCACAAAAAATCGGAAGTTGAAAGTCAAAGTGTAAGTGAGCAGAGAAATAAGCGATGCCCCCCGGAAGTGACATCATAATTAGTTCAGTTCTGATTTTTGTATAGTTCACTCAGTTCAGTTCTGATTTTCGTACAGTTCAGCTCTTATTTTCGTACAGCTCAAACACAGTTGAGTTCTGATTTTTTTACAGTTCACACAGTTCAGTTCTAATTTTCGTACATTTCAACACAGTTCAGTTCTGATTTTTGTATAGTTCACTAAAATTTCAGTTCTGATTTTCGTACAGTTCACACACAGTTCAGTTCTGATTTTCGTATAGTTCACTCACTGTTCAGTTCTGATTCGGAATCGGAATCACTTTTTTTTTGAGATTCACTTTGGACAACAAACTTTTCAACAACATTTTAACCACTTTTAAACAACTTTTTAACAACTTTTCAACAAATCTCCTATGTCTTAGAATAATGTGTAAAGTGAGACACAGGTAGCCCAAGACCGACACAGGTAGCCCAAGACAGGCACATTAGCCCAAGACAAAAGACTTTTTTTAAAAAAAAAATTGAGAGAATCAAAGAAAGTTAAAAAATGTTAATATAGGAAGTTTAAGATTTTTTTTTGATGAAGAATTATTTTGTCTTGGGCTACCTGTTTCGAAGCAGACACAGGTAGCCCAAGATAGACACAGGCAGCCCAAGACAAAAGACTTTTTTTTCAAAAAAATCCAGATAACCTAAAAAATATGTAAATGCTTAGAGCTTGATAAAATCACTAGGATAAGGATTTGGTGTAAAAATTTGGGTGAAAATGTGTGTGAAAATAGATTTAAAAATGGTGAGTACAAAGTGTGTAAAAAGTGTGTAAAAAGTGTGTAAAAAGGTGTGTAAAATTGGTGTAAAAAAGTGTGTAAAAAGTGTGTAAAAGTAAAAAAAGTGTGTAAAAAGGTGTGTAAAAAGGTGTGTAAAATTGGTGTAAAAAAAGGTGTAAAAGTGGTGTAATAATTGTGTGTAAAAATAGTGTTAAAAATGGTGTTAAGATGCTGTAAAAATGGTGTAAAAGTGGTGTAAAAATGGTGTTAAAATGGTGTAAAGAAGTGTGTAAAATGGTGCAAATGTGTGTAAAAAGTGTGTAAAAAATGGTGTAAATGTGTGTAAAAATAGTGTTAAAAAATGGTGTAAAAAAGGCGTAAAAAAGGTGTAAAAAAGGTGTAAAAAAGGTGTAAAAAAGGTGTAAAAAAGGTGTAAAAAAGTGTGTAAAAAGCGTGTAAAAAAGTGTGGGAAAAGTGTGTAAAAAGTGTGTAAAAAGTGTGTAAAATTGGTGCAAAATTGGTGTAGAAAAGTGTGCAAAATTGGTGTAAAAAAGTGTGTAAAAAAGGTGTAAGAAAGTGTATAAAAAGAGTGTAAAAAAGTGTGTAAAAAGTGTGTAAAAATTGTGAGAAAAGTGTGTGAAAATGTTGTGAAAAGTGTCTAAGAATGGTGTTAAAATAGTGTAAAAATGGTGTAAAAAGTTGGAAAAAAGTGTGTATAAAAGTGTGTAAAAAAGTTTGTAAAAAAGTGTGTAAAGAAGTGTTGGGGGAGAGGTGCAAAAAGTAGTTAAAAAGTTGTTAAAAAGTATTTAAAAAGTTTTTAAAAGGTTGTAAAAAGTTGTAAAAAAGTTGGAAAAAAATTTAGAGAAAGATGTGGAAAATGTTAGGAAAAAGTTGGGAAAAAGATTTAGAGAAAGATGTGGAAAATGTTAGGAAAAAGTTGGGAAAAAGATTTAGAGAAAGATGTGGAAAATGTAAGGAAAAAGTTGGGTAAAAGTTAGGAAAAAGTTAGTTAAAACATGGTAAAAAGGCTGGGAAAAAGTTGGGAAAGAGTTAGGAAAAAAGTTGTTAAAAAGTTGTAAAAGAGTTAAAAAAAATATGTGGAGAAAGATGTGGAAAATGATGGGAAAAAGATGGGAAAAAGATGGGAAAAAGATGGGAAAAAGATGGGAAAAGGATGGGGAAAAAGTTGGGAAAAAGTTTGGAAAAAGTTGGAAAAAAAGTTGTTAAAGAGTTTGAAAAGAGTTGGGAAAAAAGTTGGAGAAATATGTGGAAAATGTTGGGAAAAAGGTAGGAAACAGTTGGAAAAAAGATGTGGAAAATGTTGGGAAAGAGATAGGGAGAAAGTTGGGAGAAAGTTGGGAGAGAGTTATGGAAATATTTGGGAGGAGATTGAGGAGAGTGTAGGGAAATGTTGGGAAAATGATGGGAAAGAAGTTATGGAAAGGTTGGAGGAGAGTTGGAAGGAATTTGGGAAAATGTGTGTAAAAATGTTGGGAGAATTTTGAGAGAAAAATTGGAGGAATGTGAGAAAGGTGAGGGAAGAAGGAGGGAGAAGGAGGAAAAGGAGGAAGGAAAGAGGGAGGGGGAGGAGAGAAGGGAAAGAGGGAAGAAAGGAGGAGAAAAAAGAGAGAGGGGGAGAAGAAAAGGGAAAGAAAAAAGAGAGGAGAGAGAAAAGAGAGGGAAGGGGAAAAGGAGAAAGGAGGGGAGGAAAGGGGGGGGAGAGGAGAGAGAGAAAAAAGGGGGGAAAATGGGAGAGAGAGAGAAAAAGAGGAGAAAGAGAGAGGAAAGGGAAGGGGAGAGGAAAAGAAAAAAAAGGGGGAGAAAAGGGAAGAGAGAAAAAGGAGAAGAGAAAGAAAAGGGGGAAAGGAAAGAAGGGGAAGAAAAGAAAAGAAAAGAAGAAGAAGAAGAGAAAAGAGGGGGAAGGAGGGGAGGAAAAGAGAAAGAGGAGAGAAAAGGGAAAGGGAGAGGGGGGAGGAAGGGAGAGAGAGAGGGGGAGGAAAAGAAAAGAAAAGGGAGGGGGAAGAGGAAAGAGGAGGGAAGGGGAGAAGAAAAAGAAGAGGGAGAGGGGAGAAGAAAAAGGAGAGGGAAGGGGAGAAGAAGAGAAGAAAAGAAAGGAGAAGGGAAAGGAGAAGAAAAGAGGAGGGAAGGAAGAAAAGGAAAGGAAGAGGAAGGGGAAGGGGGAGGAAGAGGGAAAGGGGAGAGGAAAAGAGGAGGGAGGGAGGGAGGGAGGGAGGGAGGGAGGGAGGGAGGGAGGGAGGGAGGGGGGAGGGAGGGAGGGAGGGAGGGAGGGAGGGAGGGAGGGAGGGAGGGAGGGAGGGAGGGAGGGAGGGGGAAAAGGAAAGAAGAGGGAAAAGGGAAGGGGAAAGAAAGGAAAGGGGAAAAAAAGGAAAAAGGAAAAAAAGGGAAGGGGAAAAAAAGGAAAGGGGAAAAAAAGGGAAGAGGAAAAAAAGGGAAAGAGAGGGGAGGGAAAAGGAAGGAAGGGGAAGAGGGGAGGGAGAGGGAAGGGAGAGAAGAGGGAAGGGGGGAAGAGGAGGGGGAGGGAAAGGAAGGAGGAGGGAAGGGGGAAAAGAGAGGGAGAGGAAAAGAGAAGAGGAGGGAAGGGAAAAAAGGAAAGGGGAAGAGGAGAGAGAAGGGAAGAGGGAAAGGAGGGGAGAGAGGAAAAAAAAAAAAGGAAAGGAGGGGAGAGAGGAAAAAAAAAGGGGGGGAAAAAAGGGAAGGAAAAGAGAGGAGAAAGAAAGAAAGGGAGGAAAAAAAGGGGAAAAAAAAGGGGAAAAAAAGGGGAAGAAAAAGGGAGAAAAAAAAGGGGAGAAAAAAAGAGGGAGAAAAAAGGGGGGAAGAAAGGGGGGAGGGAGGAGGAGGAAAAGGGGGGAAAAGAAAAAAGGGGAGAAGGGAAGAGAAGGAGAGGAAAAGGGGGAGAGAGGGGGAGGAAAAAAAAGAAGGAGAGAAAAAAGAGAGGAGGAAAAAAAAGGGAAGAAAGAGAGGGGAAGAGAAGAAAGAAAAAAGAAGGGGAGAGAAAAAAGGAAAGAAAGAAGAAGGGAGAAAAGAGGGGAAGAAAAAAAGGGGAGAGAGAGAGGGGGAGAAAAGAGAGGGGAGAAGAAAAGGGGAGAGAAAAGAAGGGGTGGAGAAGAAAGAAAGGGGAGAAAAAAAGAGGGGAGAAGAGGAAGGGAAAGAGAAGGGAAAAAGGAGAGGGGAGGAAAAGAAAGGGAGAAAAAAGGGAGGAGGGAGAAAGAGGGAAAGGAAAGGAGAGGAGAGAGGGAAAAGAGAAAGGAAGGAAAAGGGAAGGAGAAGAAAGAAAAGGAGAGAAAAGGAGAGAAAGAGAAGAGGGGAAGGGGAAAAGAGGGGGGAGAAGGAGAGGAGAGGAGGAAAAAAGGAAGAGGAAAGGAAAAGGGGGAGGAGAAGAGGGGGAGAAAGAAGGAGAGGAAAAAGGAAGAAAAGGAGAGGGGGAGAGAAAGAAGGGAAAGGGAAAGGAAGGAGAAGGAGAGGGGAAGAAAAAAGAAGGAGAGGAAAGGAGAAGGAAGGGAGAAGGAAGGAGGAGGGAAAGAAAAAGAAAAGGGAAAGGAGGGAAGAAAAGGGGGGAAGAGGAAAGAAGGGAAGGAAAAAAAGGAGGGGGGAAAGAAGGGAAAGAGGAGAGAGGGAAGAGAAAGGGAGGAAGAAAAAAGGGGGAAAAAAAAAAGGAGAAGGAAAAAAGGGAGGGAGAGGAAAGAAAAGGAGGGGGAGGAGAAGAAAAAAAGAGAGGAGAAAAAAAAAAGGGGGAGGAGAAAAAAAGAGAAAGGGAGAAAGGGAAGGGAGAGGAGGGGAGGAGAAGGAAAAAAAGGGGGGGGAAAAAAAGAAGGGGGGAGAAAAAAAGAAAAAGGGGGGGAGAAAAAAAGAGGGGAGGAGAAAAGAGAAAAAAAGGGGAGAAAAAAGAGAGGAGAAAAAAAAAGGGGAAAAAAAAATGAAGAGAAAAAAAAAAGGGAGAAAAAGAAAGGGGAGGAGAGAAAGAAAAGGGGAGGAGAAAAAGAAAAGGAGAAGAAGGGAAGGGGAAAGGGAAAAGGAGGGGGAAGGGGAAGGAAAGAGGAGGGAAGGGGAAAAAGGGAAGGAGAGGGAAAGGGGAGAAGAGGGAAGAGGAAAAAGGGAAGGGGAAAGAAAGAAAGGAAAGAGGAGGGAAGGGGAAAAAGAAAAGAAGAGGGAAGGGGAAAGGAGGAAGGGAAGGGAAAGGGAGAAAAAGGGAAGAGGAAAAGGGGAAGGAGAGGGAAAGGGAAGAAGAGGGAAGGGGAAAAAGGAAAGGAAAGGGGAAGGGGAGAAAAGAGAGAGGGGGAAGGGGAGAGGGAAAGGAGGGGAGAGAAAAGGAGAGGGAGGAAGGAAGGGAAGGGGAGAAGGGAGGGAAAGGAAGGGAGAGGAGAGAGGAAGGGAAAAAAAAAGGGAGGGGAAAGAAAGGGAAGAAAAAGGGAGGAGGAAAAAGGGAAAGAAAGAAGGGGAGGAAAAAAAGGGAAGAAAAAAAAGGGGAGAAAAAAGAGGGAAGAAAAAACAGGGGAGAAAAAGAGGAAAAAAAAGAAGAAAGAGGGGGAAGGGAGGGGGAGGGAGGAGGGGGAGAGGGGAGGGAAGAGGGGAGAGGGGAGGGAAGAGGGGGAGAGGAAGGAGGGGGGGAGGAGGGGAGGGAAAAGGAGAGAAGAGAGGAGAAAAGAAAATTACGGGTCTCAGAGGCGAAAAATGGTCAGCCTTAGGGTTGGGGTTTGCCATGGGGTCAAGGGTTTGCCATAGGGTTGGTTTTATTTCTTTTTTAATTTTTGGGAGTTTAAAAGGTTTTCCAGGGACATGAAGGGTTGTTTTAGGCTCCAAAAAATATTTTCTTAATTTTAAACATTTTTTCAGATTTGTTTGAGCAAATTAAAATTTTAGATTTTTTTAGGGTAAGGGTTAGGGTTAGTAAAAGCTAAAAATTAAATTACGATTTTAGACGTTTAAAAAGTTTTCTAGGAACATGAAGGGTGGTTTTAGGATAAATATAATATTCTTTTTTTTTAATAATTTTTTCAGATTTTTTTGAGGCATTTAAAATTTTGGATTTCTTTTAGGGTAAGGCTTAGAGTTAGGAATAGATAAATTTGTTTTCTTAAATTTTGAGGGTTTGAAAGGGTTTCCTAGGGTTATAAAGGGATGTTTAGGGATATTGAGAGTTTTTTATTAATTATGAAAATTTTTTCAGATTTGTTCGAGAACTTTTGACATTTTTGGTATAACCCTAGGGTTAGGGTTAGGGTTAGGGTTAGGGTTAGGGTTAAAAGAATATGTCAGTGTTATTAATGACAACTTTTTTATTTTTAGTCTGGATTTTACAAAAATGGAATCTTTAGCTCACATCAAACGAGACAATCAGACTTATTACTGCTTCATAGACGTGTGCGAAAAGATTTTCACAGACACTCCAAAAAGCACCGTTAGAAACTGGCTAAAGTCCCTAAACATCTCGACAACACCCTGTGCCACTTTGGAAGAGAGAATTCACTTTCGTCGACGCAATGCTTCTTTGGGTGCTACGTTTAGCCTTATTCGAGATGAAGACTTGACCCGTTTGATGGCATATCGCAGTGAAGGTGCGAGAAAGCGAGCCAGACTTTCTCACAGTAGTTCTGCCACAATTCTCGACGCTGCTGATGTCGCCAGTCCGAGCCTCGCGACCACAGACAATCCAATTGTGTCTTACAATCTCAGCGTCGAGTCAGACAGCGATGAACAAGAACCACCTGTAGAAAAGAAATTTAAAGATGAAACGACGTCGCCGAAAAGAAATACGTATACCATCGCATTAGACAGCGCGCCTGAAAGATTGAAGAATGAGGTAAAAGACTTGCGCCATTTCTACCTAAAAGCATTGAACCACCATCGTGCTGGGCCGCCGTTTTCAAAAACGACCGTCGACAAAATGGTTGAAAGAGCCATGAGCTTTATGTACTTCTGCTTGAACGTGAAAAACATTGCCATGTTAACCTTAGATCTATTTAACAATATCGAACTCTATACTAGTTACGTAGAATATTTAAAAGGGACCCGAAATCTTAAACCCTCAACTATAGTTGCGCATCTTATAATCGGTATAAACGTTTTGAAATTTAATTTGGCAAACTTTCAACCGAATTCGCCCGACTCGGAGAATGCATCGCGAACCATTTCAGTTTACAATCATTTCAGCGACACTTTCAGCACGAAAGCAGCATGATATCAAAACTTCATAAGGAGGGTTTTACGAGCAAGGCAACTCAGCAGTTTTATTTCGCGCACGTTTTAGAAACTCTTCGTAACATACGCGATAAGTATTTGGAAACGCATGGCTTGGAAAAAAGTAGGCACTTGCATGATTTTGTACTCTTGGCAACTTACTTAAGAGCCATTCCTGGCAGGTCGAAAGAATTAAGGACCATGAAATTGCATATCGAAGCGGACTGCGGAACTTTCGATTTCACTTCGGTGGATGGCGGTAATTTTATCGTATTTCAAGAGGGCAATAGCGTTGTAATCGTGCAATTTGATTTCAAAACATCAAAAAGTATTGGGCCGACCAGAATCGATGTTTCCGATGACGAAGATCTGGTGTATTACTTGCAATTATATACTAAGGCAAGGCCATCTTTACTGCTCGGCAAGTCGCATGATTTCTTCTTTCTCAACAAGCGAGGCGCGCCTTTTGATAGCAGCAGTTCAATTGCGAGGTACATTGGCGATATTTTCATGCGCGAGGTTTCCATTCGAGCGAGCACTAATGCGTTAAGGCATGCTATCATCACATATTTCAGCACTTTGGACGACTCCAAAGATATAAATGTTAGAAAAAGTCTTGCGCTTTTAATGAAGCATTCGGTCCGATATCAGGAAAGCACGTATAACGATTTAACACACCACGAGAAAACGCAAAAAGGCCGAGAAGTTATCAGGGAAAAAATTGCGTCAAATATCTTCGGTGAAGCGGATTTTATTGCATTGCCTGACGAAAGCGATTGCCAAAATGATTCCGGGGACGAATTGTTACCAGCTGTCGGTGACATTGTAGCACTGCTTGATCCAGTTTCCACCAAAAATCACATTTCCTTTTTCATAGCAAAAGTCGCGAGATTCACGCAAAACAAGCAGCAAGCGCATTTAATTAGCATGGAGCTTTTGCCGGATTCCACAAATTTGTATAGACTGAAACCAGGCAGAACTTGGAAAGAGTCGGTTAAGGCGTTGGTTTTTCCTATAGACATCGTTTATAATGCGACAAGCAAAGCATACGAGTTGCGCACGCTCTCTGATGATATATTCGACATTGTTCATGGTACGTCGAAAAAGTAAAATCCAGAAATATATCGAGCATGAAAAAGTCAAAATTTACTAGAGGGTTCCGTTGTAATTAATATTCTTGTTCTGTTATAATCATCAGTATTCACTTGTTCAGATTTTGTTGGGATTTTAAATAAATATATGTATTCAAAAACTACATGTTGTGTCAAATTTGAGTTCTCTCACTGAGCTTACCCCATTTATCAGTTTACCCATAAAAGTTTGCATGAGGAATATTTTTTGTTTTGATTTTATATTCACTTTTATACCTACCTGTACAATTGATACCTAATAGACCTTTTCGGTAATCTATGTGGAAAGATGCGAAACATCCGTCTGCTATATGGGACGCCCGGACGCCTTGTTCTCGTGTTAGGCTTATTTCCAGAATTCGTTGGTCAAACTAAAAATCTTTTTCATGCATGTGTTGAAGAAGGATGTTTTGCACCTTTCGATATGGCTCGTGAGGATAAAACTTTAAATCCATTCCATTTAAGGTGGTTCTAAATTTAAAACTTTGTGTCGTCAAATTGCTGTGACGTATCACCGAAAAGTTCTATTCTATCACTCCATCTTTACGATATAGATCAGATAGCTGAGCCCGATATAATGCATTGCGGACAGCGGCTTAGTTACGCGCATGCGGGCATTAACAGATTTCGCAAAACACGAGTTTCATTGATGAAAATATTAACAATTATTTGCAAATATATGCTGTATAACTTCTTTAAATCTCGAATATGGATGTTTATATGAACTTTGAAGGCTGAAGTATTGTTTAGAATCATCGATTCGTCAAGTTCACTCCAAAGAATGGACGAGCACGAGGGTTTGCGTGCCATCAATAAACCACTTGAAAAGCACTTAAAAACCTCCTGTATTAAAAGCAATTGTCATGTGAGTTTTTTTTAAATTTTAATACTCGTACTTGCAACAGAGCCTTAAATAGGCAAGTTTGTCTTCGGCAGGCGTGCTATCACCGGTTTAAAATACTATTTCTTAAGATACTTCCTATTTTGAATGAATGGGTATTTTTATTAATAATGAATGGGATTGTTTCAGCCATTGTCATTATTTTTTTATTGTTGTTTAATCTTTCCAAAAGTGTCTAAAGAAAGACAGTTAATTGATAGTTAAGTTAAAATACTTATTGCACACAAGTAATTTATTGCTAAGGAGGTATTAGAGAAAGACAGTTCTTTGATCCAATTATGATCAGTATACTGGTAATCTATTGCCAACTTACTGAATGCCTGAAGTTCTCAGTTCTGCATGACATATGGGCATATATGACATACATAGCAGATATATTGATTGAATAAACCTTTCGACATGTACACGACAAGCTATGTATATATAGTATGTGGTTAATGCAATGTATTCAATTGAGTTCCATGATGAAAACTTGTGTGTCAATCAGTGCTAGGAAACTGCAGATATGTGACATTCATTTATCGAATTATAATACTTGCACACAAGTAATCTATTGCTAAGGACGTATTGTATAGGTGGATATGTAGCAATATTCTGTAGAAGATCATCCAGCAAATTATCTTCGATAAGGGATAGAACTACATATTAAACCATTAATTTTTTGGTCTGTTTAGAGGACTTGTTTGTTGTCTTTGGAATTTTTGGACAATGCCCTGTCATATAATTGTAATTCCTTGATGTTGCTATCTGTGCATGGTGTTGTTCAATATTAGCAATAAAAGATACTCTATTCTCTAGACCTTGAGTGAAGGCGTTCCATTTGTTGTGCCTTTAAATTCTGTTTTTAGAGCAATTGTTGTAAGAAAACATTTACATTTTTTTAATATCTCAGCAAAATATTGTATCCGTGTTTACTGACTCTAATGGTTTTGATTCCAACGCAAGGGACTTGTTTGGTATGCCTCACCTCAGAGTTTGATTTTATAGAATATTTTAAGTTTGTATATAGATTTGGAACAATACAGTATTCGAACAGGTTCGTGCAACAGACAGTTAAAAAATGTAAATTATAATGAAACTGTGACCTCAACTGCTGGAAATAATTCAGCTAATTCAATATGGTTGTCATGGGCAATAGTCAAATGTAAAATAGTTGGAATATTCATAGTTTTAAGTAGGTTTAAACCACTCAGAAGCCTTGTGGACATATATAAATCCGTCAAAAAAAACAAAAAACAAAAACGTTTCAGATAACAGATAACTAACAAATATATAGATAACAATTCCAAATCAATCAGAAAATCATTTAGTTTGACTTCTATGTATTACAGGGTATCCCGCTAACAAATCCTTTTAACAATAGAATAAAAAATAGGTTAAAAGAAACTGGTATTTTAAATACAATTTCAAAATGACCACTAATGTGATAGAATTGTATGGTTTACTTTTTTTGGAAGACCCCATACGTACATAGAATGCCTACATTTCAAATGTAACAACTTGTGACCCTTGAGAACAATAACTGTTGATCACACGATTTTCTGTGTGAAAAAGACTATTAAGCGCGTAGATATTGATGATAGATATTTCACTATTGAAATTTTTTTTGTTATAATAATTATTAATTATAGGTATTAGAAATCATTATGTAGAGGTGACTCTATGATCATAAAAGTACTAGAGATGTTTTTTATCTCTGTGTCGTTTCATTATAAGATATTTTTTCGTCGAAACAAAAACGAGTTAGCATCGTGGGAACTTATAGTACTTCTGTGAATAAGTACAGTATAACGAATGATAATGTAAATAATGCTTTTCCCATGATAGCGTGAAATATAGGTAGTAACACTTCCGTAAGCTTTTTCAATCAATCTTAACTAGTCCTCGTCTTGGTAAGTGCAAGTTTATAGAACATGCATAACTTATTAATCGATAGTCGTTGGGAAATTAATAGTAAAAGTTTTTTTTTCCAGAGGTGATCTAAACCCAGTGATGGACAACTAGAGAGGGGATTCTAATAAATCGGGTAAGCTTATCGCACGCATGTTTCATTCCTGATACACACTGTATATACAAGTGGTGACAAAAGGGTTATCTAGCTTTAGCCAGAAAAAAACTTTATTTCCTGACATATGTACATTTTCAATACAGAAGCAACAAAATAAATAAATAGCCTAAATTTTCAGTGAAATGCACCAATTTATTACCGGAAAGAACCAACGGTATTAATAATCAGTTAAGGACAAAGAGAACATTTCAAACGATCAAATGTTATATAAATCGTTTTAAAAACTTTTTATGCAAATATTCAAATAGACACACTTCTTAAATGTAATGTAATCTGTAGCATGTGATGTCATATAGCTGTTTAGGTTATGAATTCTAATTTTTAATGCTTGTAGTTGTAAAATATATAATAACTTTTAAAATATACATATTTTTACCATTCATATTGATGTATTATACATTTAATTCAGTCATAATGACTGCGAGATGTATATTTATTAAACGATTTGATTGATTGATTGATATGGGCATGACATACATAGCAGATATATCGATTTAATAAACCTTTCAACAGTTCAATTTGGAATGGACTGTGCAGTATGATATAATTCTTGCCTTTGAATGGGGTTGGGAAATTTTTGGTCGAGGTGAATTTCTATTAATCGATAGTCGTTGGGAAATTAATAGCAAGCGTTTTTTTTTCCAGACTTGATCCATAGCCAGTGATGGACAACTAGAGAGGAGAAAGAGTCAGATTCTAATAAATCGGGTAAGCTTTAAGCTTATCATTAATAATGCACGCATGTTTCATTCCTGATACACACTGTATATACAAGTAGTGACAAAAGGGTTATTAAATCTAGCTTTGGCCAGAAAAAACTTTATTTCCTGACATATGTACATTTTCAATACAGAAGCAACAAAATAAATAAATAGCCTAAATTTTCAGTGAAATGTCCGGCTTAAATGTTCAACTATTATGTTCAAATTGGTTGCATGTTCTTTTCAGTTCACATAAACGCCCATTTAGTTCTTTGCTCGGTCGACCAGTTGCATTCTGGGGACTCGAAAAGCCACGCAACGATTTCTCTCAGGCTTTCTGGTAGCACTTCATCATCACGGCGTTGTCTTAACAACGGGATCCAGTAGGAGCGAAGCCCACCGTAGTTCACCAGTATCTCCGTCGGACGTTTCGAGGGCTCCAAGCGCCGTTTCGTTCGTAGAACTAACTGTTCCCCGGTCGTGTCGAAGCGAGCGTTGCACTGTTCGTCTATTCGACTTTCGGTTTTCGCCCAATCCTCTTCCGTCAGAGGGGGCCTTTCCGCTGACGAAAGAGTTCGTATGTGCTTGAATGCTTCGAGCACCCACGGCTGATTTGCAAATCGTCCCAAATTATTGGCCGTTTCCACCTCCGCGTCGAACCATCGTTTTTTTCTGTGCACGAATATCGCGTAGGAACGAGAGCTGCTGTTTTTGTTCATTTCTTCCTCGGTGGTGCTTCGTTCGGCGTAAAGGCAGATATGCGCCCCGCTCTCGATGGGGAACTTGTGTCGTGCTAGGAACAGGCCGTGACCCGAGTTCGGAATTTCGCTTTTCGCGACGAAACATCGGCTTTCCAAAACGTGCTACATGATACGATTCGAAAAAAAAAGTTGTCCGAATCTTGGCTCTCGGGCCACGATTCACCATCGTCTGCGAGAACTTGCCGCGATCCAGCGCCACTGCAGGCCCACACCTGTGTAAAATAATAATGTCGAAATTATTAGTTGTCATTGTTACTTGTCATGGTCGTTATTATTATTTCATATATTATACCGTAGGATCCTCGGGGCGGTTCAATATCGGACGATATTCTTCGTACGCGTTCACGCCGTGTTGTCCCCACATCTTTCGTATGTCCCACGGCAGGTTCGGGTAGGTGAAGACTTCTTCCGGCAGGCTGAAGATTCCCTCTTTGTCGACAATCGCCGCACGCATCGCTGCATCCACGGCGACGTCTATTCCGGTCGTGTAAAAAGACAGCGTGTACCCGGCCGCGCGAGTTTCTCGGTCAAGTTATCCAGGCTGCCGTTCTCGTTTCTCGTGAAGACCTGAACCAATCTCCTGCCGAAACGGTCGTGAGGGACGTCGCGCTGGCCGGCCGCACCCGTACCGACGTGCAACAGGACCTCGCTCGCTCGGAATACCAGCTCCCTCGCTGCCCGCAGTGCTTCGATTCCAATATGTCGCGTAAGAAACGGCGTCATCGTCGTTGACCCGTCGTCTGGTTGTTTGTAGATACGCACCGAGCACTCCGTCTCAGGCGCGTCGCAGTTTCTAAGCCGGAATCGTAGCTTCCCGTCGTCCGTCGCCAGGTCGTGGAGTTCGTGTTTGCACTCGGATGTCAGCAATATCTCGCCGGAGTCTCCGTCGAACAAGCGCAGGCATTTCTTTGGGACGCTGACCAATTCGTGTTCCTCCGGTGTCGGGCTCACGGTTTTCCACGACTGGGGCAGTGGATCCTGCAGCTTTCTCTCTCTCAGGAATGGCTGTAAGTATCTCATCGTCATGCTTTGCACATCTGTGGGCATCGCCAACGATAGCGTGGGAGGGCTAAACGCGGGCGTCGAATTCGAGAAGTACACCGCCTTGAGCAGACTCGTGAAACTCAGGCCAGAAAACTGCGTGCCGAAGGCTTTGGGCACGGAAATCGACGTCGTCGCAGTGCATCGGTCTGTCTGCAAAGCGAACCGGTTCGGTTTCCATTTGCGCCGTGGTCATTTCCAAATTGTCGTGGTACCTGCAAAGAAACAAACGTATTGATGGTGAGACGTTATTACCTGCTGTGCTATTATTAAAGTAAGGCTAGGGGCCCGATTTCCTCCTACCTTGTGTACGCCTCGTCGAACTCGATGACCGCTTCGCACGCACAATCCTTCACCATTGCAAGGTATCTTCGGTAGTGCTCGGCCCTTATCTCGTCTTCCATCGCGTCGCAGCCGGCCGTATAGTTGACCTTTCGACCGTCCGACTTAGTTTGCCGAACAAATTCTCGCACCAGGTTGCCAACGCAGTGTTGGATGCAATTGGTCACGCTGTTCGGGATTGCCGTTAGCATGAGAATCTTTTCCACCGGCGTTCTGCTTTTCTCGGAATTCATCTCCTCCCAGGTCGATCGCAACGCCGCCACCAAGACATCGTCGAGAATCTTCCAGTCGTTCATGGCCCCCCAAAATAGTTCTAATTCTATGTGATTTGGAGGCTCGTCTTTCTCGCCGGCCGCCGCGAGCTTTTGCATCATTTGCACTCGCTTTGCTCCGGTGTTGGCTTTCGCAGCCTGGGCGCAGAGAGGTTTTCTTTTCTCCGGCTGCTCGAGACGCGCTTTTTTAGGTGGCCGGGGTGCCGTTTGCGTGGTGTCATCGGTGCTGGTGGAATTGGTGGTGCTGTCATGGTGGTGCTCTCCGCCGACTTCGGAGCAATGCTCGTTTCGTTCCCTCTGCTACACCTGTGGTGCTTGAGCCGGCTGATTTTCGCTTACGGCCGAGGAACGCGTCGCTGGTGCGCGTTCTCTCCTGCCGTTTCGTCACGTTTCTCGCCCTAAACACGCCCGGAGAACCCTTGCCAAGGCCTTTCTTGCTCTTTGGAGGATCGTCGTCAGGTCGATGAACGTTTCACCGGATCCCTCCGTCGACGAAACTGTTGGAATTTTCGGGGCGTTCTCGCCAACTCTTTGTCCATCTGCCTCTGACCGAACAGGCCTGAAAGACACAAAGTAGAACGGAAAATTTAGCAATCGACCGAGCGCTATATTTCTTCAACGCTCGTTTTCTCGCTCGCACCTTTTCCCCTCGCGAAAAGTGACACGTAAAATGTCTGGCACGCGTCGACAACCGCTTGCAGCGTCTCTCCGTCTTCCTCCGGGTCCAAGTTGTTGATCTGCCTCTTTATCGATTTGAAAATATTCTCCACGTAACCCTTGCACTTGTTCATCCTTTTTGCGCTTCGCCTGTAAAGTATATTCGAACGCTCGTCGCTCGCTGCATTTATACTCGCGTAATGACGTAATGGCTCGGTCTATTTTTACCGGGGAATTTACCGTAATTACGTCATTTAACAGAGAAGATACGAAAATAGAAATGATGTTTTATTTGTGCCAAAATTATTATGCACGCTCTCAACTTGTGCTAAAATAAATCAACTGTATCTCTAGAGACACGGGATTGCGATAATGTGATGTATAAATCGAGAACAACACGGCCGGTTTTTTATTCATTTTATTAGTCTAAATAATAAATAATATATATAACCAGGGGGGGTTCAGCAGATTCATGCGGAGGTTTTCGGGCTACGCAACAGTGCGACGATGTATTGCTTAGATTCCTGACAACATTTATATCAACATTTATGCAATTGATGTCGCTTGATCTCGATTCCTTTATAGATCTACTACGGCCGTTGTTGGACTGATGAGCTCAACGAGCGACAAAAACGAAAATGTCGAAATTTCAACGAACACAGTCGTCGAAGCAAAGACGTCGTCAATGAATATTGCATTGTGAATTGCTCCTTGTAACTGGAGTTATCCATTTCCGAAAGTCATCTCCTGATTGGTCTTTCTACTTCCACAGCTGAGCTGCGGAAGTAGGAAGACCAATGGAATTGCTTCGCTACTGATCTATCACATTCTGAACACGCTGTTGATAATCGCTTCATTGTTGCTTCAACGCGATGCAACGAAAGAATTACTTAATCCACACCCTGTATCGCATCGTAAGCATGCTTGGTATTGGATAGTAAATTAGTAAATCCACGGATTCCATTTTACCTAGCGTCGAAAATATCTGAATGTATTTTTCCCATTGTTTATTTTGTACAATACATAATTTACATATGCACAACATTTAAATATGTTTCGGCGATCGGGGGGGGGGGAATTGAATTCCGGAATTGAAACAAACAACAAGCATGCATGGGTATTAAATGCTTTGGAAAATCCTCTCTAAATTTTACGAATTGATCATAAATGGCACGTTTTCTACCCTCGGAAATAATGAAATGATCGTGGGCAAATCTACACTACGGTACGTCAATTCATTCATGATTCGGACCTCTTTGTTATCACGAATTCTAGCTTTCAGATCTCAATGTTCACTGAGATATGATATCATCTCAGCCCAGCAATGTAACAGAAGAATTTAACCTTTGCACCCAGAGCCCCAAGCCCCCAGCCAGAGGTCACTCATTCGAGCAGAGCTCTGCCATAATAACATGCCAATTGAATCATTGCATGTGCTTAGTTGTTGCATGGAATATCCATCCTGCATGCACCCACAGAATGTTCACTGAGATATGATATCATCTCAGCCCAGCAATGTAACAGAAGAATTTAACCTTTGCACCAGAGCCCCAAGCCCCCCAGCCAGAGATCACTCATTCGAGCAGAGCTCTGCCATAATAACATGCCAATTGAATCATTGCATGTGCTTAGTTGTTGCATGGAATATCCATCCTGCATGCACCCACAGAATGTTCACTGAGATATGATATCATCTCAGCCCAGCAATGTAACAGAAGAATTTAACCTTTGCACCCAGAGCCCCAAGCCCCCCAGCCAGAGATCACTCATTCGAGCAGAGCTCTGCCATAATAACATGCCAATTGAATCATTGCATGTGCTTAGTTGTTGCATGGAATATCCATCTGCATGCACCCACAGAATGTTCACTGAGATATGATATCATCTCAGCCCAGCAATGTAACAGAAGAATTTAACCTTTGCACCCAGAGCCCAAGCCCCCCAGCCAGAGATCACTCATTCGAGCAGACACGCCCATTGCATTGCATGCTGGCACATGTAAATCTGGCTATTATATTTGCAATCATAAACCGATCTAGAGACCTACTAGAAACCTTATGCATGAGGCTTTTTAATCTATGTATTAATTATGTATTTTTGAGGTAAATCTGACAGATAATCAATTTTGAGTATTTTTTGTAATTGAATGTTGTTAAGCTCATATGGTTTAATACGTTTAATATTTGTCAATCACTTCTCGCTTTTGAATGGGGAACTGCTGTCATTAACAAGTGCTTCTATTGTGTCTTTCCGCCAGGAAGAAAAAGTCACCTCTTTGTCTGAGGAACGCCAGTTCCTGTGCCTTATCTCTCACCATGTCCAATTAGCTAATTCATTAGTGCGGCATTGCGCTAATATCAAAGCGCCGCGTTTCCTGAATTTAGGAGGCGATGTCCATTAGTAACCCCAAGAAGAAAGAAGGCGTGCCTATCTGTGTTGTATACGTAAATGGTTTGTCGATTATCTTTCATTTTCACTTAAAAGTCATGAAAGAAGCATCTTCAAGGATCATCATTATTATCATCATGAGCCAGGTATACTTATTGTATTTATACGGACTTTATACGGACTATATTATACCGTTTTTATACCGTATATTTATACTGTATTCATACGGACTATATTTATATCGTTTTATATACACCTCCCCTCCCAGTGATAATCTATTCCGTGTCTTATCAGAATTTCCATTTGTTAGCGCGCTCTGAATTTGAGTAAATTATAGCGGAGGTTTTTTAATTTTGTGTCTTACAAGAGTGCTTTTTTTTTCAGGTGAACCATACGCCTGCCTGGAAATCAACGAAACACGTATTCATGCAAAACTGAGAATAATCAGGCTCGATATATTGTAAGTTTGTTTCTTGTTACAGACCAATTTTATTTGAGTGTTATGATATTAAACGCATGTAGGGTTAGTAATTGTTAAGGAAAGGTTATTTATTTGGGAAAAGCCCTTAATTTGTCGGCACGCCATATGCATTTTTAGCACGCCTGTATGCCACTGAAGGGTTATTAGCTTTACGAAAAGGTTATGGATCTTAGCAAGATTTAGTTTTTAGGTTAGTTAAAATGCTAGGGTTATGATTTTTAACCAGGTTAGTAATTTTGAAGGAAGGGTTTATATTTGGAAAAAGTCCTTTATTTCCAGCACACCATTTTAGCATGCACGCCTACCTGTCTGCCAGACC